CTCTCCCTTGTCCTTTTTATCATTCCCTAAACCCTTCTCACCCCCGGAGCTGGGTTCGTGCTTGCTGGACCCCGTCCCCTCTGCAGGACAGGAGACTCGGGGGAGGTTTGGTGGCACTTAAGCCTGGAGCAGGATTTGGATGAACGAGGGGACAGGGAGAGGTTTTGGTGATGGATATCATGGTGAGATACCATGTGTTTCTTCCGCAGGGAGAGATTCTGGGTACAATTCAAGCATCCCGGCTTCCCATGCAGAGGAGGCAAATCTGTACGAGGAGCCACCAGACCCCTCGGCCATCTATGAAGAACCCCCTCAGGTTGGTGCATGAGGGACGATAGAGGACCCCAAGGGGGAAAAGGGCACCCGAGAGCGGGCCAGGATCCTCACGCGAGAGAATGTGGCTTTGTCTCATCTTTTAGGATGAGTCTGGAACCCTTTTATGAGCGTCTCTTCTCTTTGGGTACAAACACTCCGGTGCTCGGAGCCCGGCTGCCTGGGCTAAAATCAGTCTGAAACTGAGATACCCTGAAGTTCATACGCGCTGGGGCCACAACTGCACGGCGAGGGGATGCTGCCGCGGTCCCTTCCCAGCGCTGACAGTGAGACATGCTGGTGCTGAGCCCCCGTCACCTGTCCCGTGCCCTGGGGCCACTCTGGCTGGGGTCATTGCCCCCCATCCCTGGAGCCCTGGGAGGGGGCAAGGGGAGAGGCTCTTGTCAGCCTCTTTGCCAAAGGACTTTCTCCTCCTTCTTCTTTTCACGTCCAAAACCAGCAGAGCCGACAAAGCCCAGCTATTCTTGGCGTGCTGTATCAGATTCTCCAGCATCTAATCGTGGGGTTGTGTCATGGTGCAGTGTTTCCCTTGGAGATGTGGTGGCCATTTGGTTTCCCCTCCCCTTTTCCCCCCTCTTCCCCCCCCCCCCGGTCCCAGCTCACAAAACCATAAGCATTTCAAAGATACTTAATTTTCTCTTTCTTGAATTTGTCTGGAAGTGTCCAGCTGGTTCAAAAAGGGTGGGGAGATGGGCTGAACAATCACCTCAGTCTTTCTCTATGAAAGAAAAGTAAAAAGCAGCCAGCTCAGGTCTCAAAATGAGAGAGAAATGCTTGGAAAACGGGAGCCGGAGCTTGTCCAGCTTCCATGGTCTTAAACGTGTGGGTGATGAACCGCTGTCTGCAGCAGAGATCCTAAGGGATCGCCTTCCAGAAGGGTTGTCTGCTACTGGTCTCCAGTATTTCTGGTTGTGGTGCTGGCTGCTGGGCTGGAGGCACTGCAGGATCGGTGCCGGTTTGTGAGTCAAACCGGAGAGCTGGCTGCCTTCACTCTTTGGTGAAAGGCTGGTTTGCACACTCATCTCCTTTATCTCCTAGCAGAGACACATGGAGCTCCCAGAGCCAGTGTTTTCATTCGGGGGGGGGCATCTGGGACCTGCTGCACGCGGTTCTCCGAGGCTCGGGGGGGCTGATCTAAATCTCTGGGTGTTGCATGGTGTTGTACTCCTCCCTCCCACTGTTTTCTCCTGCAATTCCCAGTGTGCAACGCCTCCTGATCCACCTGGGAAACCAAGCGCGGCTACAAGAAGCAGAGTAGGGGGACGTGCACCCTGTGTGCCGTGCGTTGGCGTGGCAAGACCCCAGACTGCAGACCCTTGCTGTGGCTAATGAAGCACGAGCTGCCTGGCACAGCATTGTTCATGCTAGTAACTCCTTTTCTGCCTTTGTCCTTCCTGAAGGAACAAGTTGACGATGCCAAATACGACTACCAGGTTGAGTACCAGCAGCCGCCGGACCTGACGGGGAAGGGGCTGTGTGCCCGGGCACTCTACGACTATCAGGCTGGTAAGACCTGCAGAGTTCTGGCTTTCTCTCTGAGCTGCTGGGGGTTTGCTGGGCGCAGCCTGTTTCCGGATAGCTGGACCGGAGACATCACCCATCATGCTGGGCAATCCCACGGCAGGGTGCTAGATAAAGTGTCTTCCACCCGACTTGGAGCTGGAAGAGCAAGTGAAGGAAGCCATTGGCTTCTCTTTTTCCCCCTAACATCTGTTTCTTGCTCTCCTCCCTGTCTCCCTTCCCCTGCCTCCTGCCTCAGAGCCTGTTTTACCTGGATATTCACATCTTACAATTTACTAAACCCCCGGCCTTTCACAGCAGCAGTGGGGCTGAGCTGCCTTTGCTTTCTCCAGCCATAAAAATACTGGTTTCCTGTGAAAAGTGGCTGTCCAGGGGTTTGGGCTGCAGCAGGACACAGCCCCAGGGAAGCTGACTGTGTCACAGACTCCTTTCTTTAAGCAAGGGGGTGTCTGGCAAGGGGGCTGTGTGCCTGGCAGGGTGTGTCCCTGGTGGGGATCAGCTTGGTTTTTAACCCCCTCCCTTGCTCTGTCTTATTCCAGCTGATGACACTGAGATCTCATTTGATCCGGAGAACATCATCACCAACATCGAGATGATCGACGAAGGCTGGTGGCGTGGCTACGGTCCTGACGGCCACTTCGGCATGTTCCCTGCCAATTATGTGGAACTGATAGAGTAAGGGTTCTGGCAGGGGCTGTGGGGACCAGAGCCGCTCCGTCCCCCCCTGGAGCGCTTGGCTCCTGCCTGATTCTTCCAAACGATGTGTGGCTTTTATTTCTTCTTTTTCTTTTCTCCAAGTGAAGTGCCATTGCCCTGCTCCCTCAGCAGCAGGGCTGACCCAGGCGCTGCTCTCCTCCGCTCTCTCCCGTCCCCCATAGCTGGTCCTTGGTCGGGAGGAAGGGGCCGATCCCATCCTGAGCCCCTGCAGTGCTGATCTCCCCCCTCCTCCCTCTGGTTTGGAGTGCAAATTCTCTTTCAGGGCTGAAGGAGGGGATGACAAATCCCTTACGGGGCATTTTCAGGGAACAAGTTGCCTCTTCCCCTGCATTCCTCCGACCCCGTGGCCTCAGAACTGGTGTGGCCATGATGGAGAAACCACTTTCCCCATTTCGGCTTGCTGACGAAGCTCACTGGATTGATTTTAGCATTTTACAGGGTCTAACATCACCTGGAGAGCCAAAACCTAGCTCTGCAGTGTTGCCACTGCCCCACCGAGCATCCCAGAGCTCGCCAGTGGGGCTGCCACATGTGTCCCTGTGTGTTCCTCCCTGCTGTCCCCACGGGAGGGGTTTTCTCTTCCCTTCCCTCTCCCCAAACCATGCTTTGGGGATTTAAATCATGTGTGAGCAAGCTTCCCCTGCAGAGGAGATCCAGCAAGGCCAAAGTGGGTGTTTGAGGGGGCTTTTTTTAGCAAAACCTGTGAGCGTGGGATCCCTCCCCTCCTCCATCACCCCAAATTCACTGTGAACAAGGAAGAGCCCAGCCCAGCTGTCACCTTCTCCCTTTGTTAAGTTTCTTTCCTGGGTGTTGCTTTAGAAGTAGCAGGAGAGGATGGGGGTTGGAGATGCCGGGGGTCCCGGCTCACCCACCCCTCCCGTGGGCACTGGGGGATGCAGCGGCTCCTCCGAGCCCGTTCCCCTGGGGTCCCGTGGGCTCCTTCCCCACCGCTCACTCCTCCCGTGCCGTCCCCGTCTCTCCCAGTAACAATAAAAGGGCTTTTCTTTGGTGATGGATGCAGCAGGATCTGGCCATGTGCTCCCCGGCAGGAATTGCGGTGAAATGCCAGTGTTTTGGTGTGGGGACAGGCAGAGCTCACGTATTCCTAATGTCAGCCGTGAGCGCTAACGCGAAATCTTAATAAGGCGAAGCCGAGCCGCGTGTGAGAATCACCATGTGTGAGAATCACCATGTGTTTTCACAGCAGGTCACTGTGACCAGGCTTATGCTTCAGAGAAGGGAGCGAAGGCAAGGCTAATGGGATAAATAATTGGCCCCAGCCCCAGTTATTTGAGTCTAACGAGGGAGGTTCGGTCAGAAAAGCAGCTGGAGGCAGTGGCCGGCAGAGGTGAGCAGGGAGTGATGGGGGTCCTGGGGTTTGGATGGCTGTGGGTGTGTAGGGGGGCTTTAGGGGTGTTTTAGGGGGACTCTGGGGGTTTGGGAACACTGAGGACATTGGGGATGCAGGGACTGTGGAGATGGTGGAGGGGGGGACTTGGAGGACATGTGGATGTAGAGGCTGCAGGGACACCAGCATGAGGGGACCTTGGGGATGCAGAGACACTGGTGATTTGGAGACATGAGAGGCCTGGGGACATGGGTCATCTGCGGACGTGGGGACACCAGTGATGTGGGGACACTGGGGACCCAGGACTGGCAGCCAGGTGCATGCCACAGGCCATCTCCCACCTTTCCCAACCACGTTAGGGTCGGGTGCTCTTGCAAGGACCAGGGCTTCCCGGTCACTTTAGCACCCATGGGTGCTGCCAGCCCCTGGGGACATGGTACAGCAGGGGGCATCACCCCATGGGGCAGACGTCTGGTGCACTCATGACACAGGCGGCCCTGCAGGATGCCGTGTGGGGTGGCACAATGCCGGGGTGCTGGGGACATCTTCCTGCTGCTGTCACGGCCCCCGTGCTGCTGTAGCCCTGCCCTGTCTGCATCCCCTCCTGTCCCCAGCCCTGCCTGTGTCACCCCATCCCCAGGGCTGGCACCGCACCCAGAGCAGTGAGACGCAGGACTTGGCACAGTCCCTTTATTCACCAGGGCCTGAGCGCGGGATGGGGGAGGCGCATTGGCACAGGGGTGGTGTGGGCACAGGTGGCGTGGGCACAGGTGGCGTGGGCAAGAAGGTGATGTGGGCAGGGGGACAGCGTGGGCACAATTATGGGGCACAGAGGTGGCACAGCGTGGGCATGGGGGTGGCGTGGGCATTGTCAGGAAGGTGGTGAGGGTGTGCAGATGGCAGAGGTACGGCAGCAGTGAGGGTGGGGAGACAGTGTTGGCACAGTGTTATTGTATGGCACGGACTTGGGATGGCATGGGCATGGGGAAGGGAATGACATGGGCATGGGGTGGGCAAAGGCAGGGGGATGGGGATGACGCGGGCTTGGGGATGGCATGGAGATGGGAATGACATAGGCATGGGGTGGGCAAAGGAATGAGGATGGCACAGGGGTGGCACAGGAATGGAGATGGCATTGGCATGGGGATGGCACAGGGATGAGAATGACAGGGATAGGAGGGGCAAAAGCACAGGGATGGGGATGGGGATGGGGATGGCTGAGCAGGGTGCAGGCATCGGCAGGGAGCTGGCACAGCCGGCACAAGCCTGGTGATGCCCTGGGCTGGGCGCTGGCCCCACGGGCACCCGCTCCCTCACTTCCAGCTGGTGAAGAACTGCTTGAAGAGGGGCGTCTCGCGGCCCTGGGGCAGGATTTCCACCTGCCGGGACAGGGATGGAGAAGGGACAGGGACGGGGTGACATCGCCCGTGCTGGCCCCCGGGCGCCCCTCGCCGCCTGCACCCACCTGTGTCCGGGGCGAGTGGCCCATACGGGCGATGACCTCCTCGGCCACTTTCAGGGCCGCCTGGCGCTCCCGTTCATTGGCCTTGCGCCCTGCGGATGGGGACGTCAGAGCCACGCTGGGGTGGGCCCCTGTCCCCACGCCCCCCCTCCCCATCCCCATCCCTGGGCACCTTTCCAGACGTAGACCTTCCCACCGGCGCCGTTGTCCAGCACAAAGCAGTCATCGGAGCAGAGCAGGCTCTGGCTGAAGGGGCTGCTGGCGGCCACCTGGCTCAGGTCCATGCGTCCCGTCGCATCCGACACCTGCCCGCCGACGGGACGTCACTACGGGGCCACCCTGGGGTCCCTCAGCTGTGCCCAGCCCTGTGTCCTCCCACGTAACCACTGCAGCATTGCCCATCCGTGCTCTGCCCCAGGGCTGCTGCGGTGTCCCCGGCCATGCCCAGCCCCATGACCACCATGCTGACCCGTGGCTATGTCCAGCCCTGGTGCCACTGTGGTGTCCCGCAATGGCCTTGCCTTATAGAGGACAGCTGCCCCCGCATTTCTCTGATCAGCCACGATGTCGTCCTCGGGGCTGCCCTCCTGCAAGGTGGGCTTGGGGCCCAGCACCTGCCAGGTGAAGAGACGGGGGGTTTCACAGAGCCACCCCCAGGGACACTCGGGTCCCCCTCTCCTCCCAGGGGGGACGTTGGGGCCCCGACGCACCTGGAGCATCTCAGGTGGCTCCTCACCATCCGCCACGATCTCCAGGCAAGCCTTGCCACCCCGCTCGCCATCCCGGATGGCCACGGCCAGCTCCTGCGCCCTGCTGCGCTCCAGCACGTTGCACCTGGCTCCACACCAGACGAAGAGGGTCTGGGGACAGGGAGAGGGACTGTGGTGATGGAGCCATCCCATGGTGGCCCCCAACCCACCTAGCCCAAGTTGAGGGTGAAGCAGTCGCTCAGGTTGAAGATGGCCCAGGGAGGTGCCCTGACGGCAAAATGGACAGCCCGACAGATGGACACCCAGACAGACAGACAGACACCCAGATGGATAAATGGCTGCCCAAATGGACAGATGGACACCCAGAAGGACAGATACCCCTACAGACAGGAGGATGCCCCAACCGATTGATAGACACCCCAGGAAACAGACATAGAAGGACAGATAGACACACCTATGGATAGACAGGTGACCAAGTGGATGGCTGGACACCTGGAAGGACAGACAAACAATCCAACAGACTGATACTCAGAAGGACAGACAGACATCCCAGCAGATAGACATCCAGAAAACCAGGCAGACACCCCTATGGATGGATGGCTGCTTTGACAGACAGATGGACACCCCAATGGATGGACACCCAGAAGGACAAACAGCCAGCCCTACAGGTGGACAGATGCCCCAGTGAAGAGGGACACCCCAATGAGCTGATGGACACCCCAGGGGACAGATGGACACCCAGAAGGACATGTTGCCCTTTGTCCTGCACCAGGCGAGAAGGCCCTGGGGGACAGGGAGAGGGACAGCGGTGACGGGGCCACCCAAGGACCTCCACCCACCTCGCCCAGGTCGAGGATGAAGCAGTCACCGGTGTTGAAGCTGGCCCAGCTCAGGTCCCGCTCGCTCGCCCGAATGTTCTTCTTGCCCTTCACCTGGTAGAGTTTGTGCACAGGGCCGGCGCTGGCGCCAGGGCGGGTGGGCTTGAACGCCGAGTCCACGCCGCCCTCCTGCCGGCATGGGGGTGCTGAGTGCCCAGTGGGGTGCCCAGCACCCAACTGGGATGACAAGCACCCAGCATGTGTACTGAGCACCCAGAGATGATGCCGAGCACCCATCAGGGATGCTGAGCACATGGTAGAGTTGTTGAGCACTCTCAAGGATGCTCAGTACCTGGAGGGGATGCTGAGCACCCGCTAGGGAGGCTGAGCACCTACTGGAGATGCCCAGCACCCAGAGGGGGTCCCACATGCTCAGTGGGGAACAAGCAGGGGGGTGAGGGTGCTGAGAGCTCAGTGGTGATGCTGAGCACCCATCCAGAACGCTGAGAGGCTGATTGGGTTGCTGAGAGCCTGGTCGGGATGCTGAGCACCCATCTGGGATGCTGAGCACCGGGAGCACCCCAAGCACCTGTCAGGGACGCCCAGCACCCATACCTGGTAGGTGACGCCGCGGGGGAAGTACTCCATGAAGACATCGGACTCATTGCCCTGCACCTCACGGTGCGTCACGGGGCGCTCGCCCAGCAGCGTGTTCAGCTGGGTGGAGAGGAGGGCGCAGGCACCCTGCTCGTCCCGCGAGGAATCCCGGCCTGTGGTGGCAGCCAGCACTGAGCCCCCCGGTCCCACTGCCACCTCCCCGTACCCCCTTTACCCCCCCTCAGAGCTCACCCATCCAGAGGTGGAGGTGGGCTCGCTCATCTGGCCCATTGTGCAGCACCAGGTAGGCATCCCCCGAGAAGAAGACGCCCCACGTCGCCTCGGGGACCTCCACCGGCTGCAGCTTCTCCACCCGCCAGATGTGCAGCCCCGGGCTGGTGACGGAGGGGCCGAAGGGGGAACCACGGCGGGATGAGAGGCAGCGTGAGCTGGGGAGGGCGGGGGGAGGTGGGGAGGGGGTGGTGGTACCTTTTGGGGAGCGCGGTGTACATGGCGTTGGGGAGGTGGTGATGGGTGGGGTGGATGGATTGACCTGTGGATGGAGGGACACCATGAGATGGCTGGTGCAAGGGCTGGAGAGCCAGGAGGTCAAGGACAACCCAATAGGGAGATGGACGCCCTAATGGATACCCAGAAGGACAGACAGACACCCCAACAGACACCCAGAAGGACAGATGGACACCCCAGATGGACAGATGGACATCCCAGTGGACAGGTGGACACCCAGAAGGATGGACAGCCACCCGTAAGTACAGATGGATGCCCCTATGGATAGGTGGACACCCCCATGGACAGACAGGCACCCCAATAAACAGACACCCAGGAAGACAGACAGACCCCCCAACAGACAGACACCCCAATGGCCAGATGTACTCTTACATACAGCTGGACACTTGGAAGGACAGACAGACACCCCTACAAACAGACAGGCACCCTGATGGATAGGGGGACGCCTGGAAGGACAGACAGATGCCCTGGCAGACAGACAGACACCCCAGTGGGTGGGAAGCCCCCAGGACAGACAGATGGACACCCCCAGAGGCACACATCCCATGATGGACAGACAGATGGACACCCCACAGGACACCCGGATGGACAGACAGACACCCTGACAGACACCCCCCCCAATGGACAGACAACCACACAGACAGACAGACGGACACCCTGGCAGACAGACGGACACCCCGATGGACAGCTGGACAGCCCCTCGCTCAGACGGATGGCAGCGGGCCGTGGCAGGACAGACGGACACCCCAACAGCCGCAGAAACTCCTGTCAGCCGTGGGACACCCGGAAGGCAGCGGCTGTGACTCAGGCAGCAGGAAAGGGTGGGGACGGGCCTCGCCCCACGTGGGCCCCCCCCCGGGGGTGCACGTAGCCTCCATGGGGCCCCTCACACTAGGAATGGGGGCACCGAGCCCTGGGACCTCCCACCCTGCTGGGACCATCCCACCCTCCTGGGACCCCACACACACTCTCCTGCCCCCCCTCCGACTGCTGGGACCCCCCCCCCCCCCCCCCGCACCAACCCCCCCC